GTATAATGGTTTAACCCTAAAAAGTCTGCTGTTCCATGGATCCTCTTTCTGTCTTGAGGAGTGAAARCTGGAAGCCTTGCAGGCTCAGAATTGGGACACACTCTTCTTTTCTCTTCAATTTGAGTCCTGAGTGTTGCAGGATAATCTCCATCTACAAATATGGGATGTGCAAACCAGCCCAGCATGAACTGCAGGTAGCGATCTGCAGCCGCTATGTCTTCAGGTCTGGAGGGGTCCATGGGCTCAGCCCAGTCAGAATTYAATGCAATGCCCACTTTCCCTCCTTGTTTCATTCGGTACTTGTCATTGTAGACATGCCAGGCCTCAGCATGAGACTTGAGTATATTGTGAGTGGCCTGCAGAGATGGAAACAACTGTCAGGTAAATGTCATATGACATATATTTACATGTATTTATAGTATAGTAATGACTGTACATTCACCTGATAGGAGGCAACCACATAATCCTTTACTCCAGGGGGGTGCTCACCAGTGCCATAGCCAGCATGGCTCACCACCCAGGGGCTACTGAATGTGTTCCAAGTCTTGACCCTGTCTCCAAACCTGGAGAAGCAGAAGTCTGCATAGTCCTTGAAGGCTTCAACAATGGAAGTGTTGGTCCATCCACCRTGATCCTGGAGTGYTTGAGGCAGATCCCAGTGGTAGAGAGTGACAACAGGTTGTATGCCAGACTCAATGAGTGCATTGATCAGCTTGTCATAGTAGAGAGCCCCTTTCTCTGATTGGCTGCCTCTGTGGCCTGAGGGGAAAATACGGGCCCAGGAGATGGAGAACTGGTAGGTGTTGACATGGAGACCTCGCAGGAGGTAGACATCATAGTCCACCTTGTAGAAACTGTCACAGGCTAGATCAGCTGTCTGATTAGCAAAGGCCAGGCCTTCATGACCAAAGCGATCCCAAATGGTCTCCCCCTTCCCCCCTTCTGACCAGCCTCCTTCAACCTTGAAGGACTCACTGGAGGTGGCCCATTGGAAGTCTGCAGGGAAGGATTCGCTCAGGAAAGCATCTCGCTGGGCTGAGTTCATTGTGGCAAAATTGCTCAGAGTTTTGGAGTAGGTTTTGAAACTTTGGAGATCATTTCTATTGTAGGTTTCCTCCCCTTGATGTTGTTTTCTTAATATTGAGAACATAAGACATTAAAAAAAAATTTGATGGAGAAACGTTGATGCACTTCCTATTTAACTTAAATTGTGAATTCTATACACTACGTTCCAAATATCTCAAAAAAATGAATTTGCTTTCATTTTGTATCTGAACATATTGTTTGGTGTTTTGTGCTTCACAAATCAAACAATGACACATTTACTCACACATTTTCAATGTGGAATAAATACTTCACTGTCTAGTTGAACTACATACCTGTTTGGGACAGAGTCAGCAGGACGTAACAGATCCACCATGTCCAACCCAAGAACACTTTGTTCTGCATTTCTCAGCACTGTGAAAGTATAATGATAATATATTACACAGAATAAATCATATATCATATTCATGTGTCCTTCATTGTCATAAAAATAATGACAGAATCCTTGAACCATTTGCATTTTTCACAAGATGATAGAAATAATGTGCCATCAGTTTTATTTATGAATAAAAAAATGTCTCAACTATGACTGAGGCAAATAAAAGTGTTCATCTCTTATATAATTCTGTTTTCAACTTAGAGTTTGAAGGGAACTAAAGCAAACAATATAATTAACTTATCTCTGTTCAGGACTCTTCAAATGAAAGATTACCTTCTAATATTTTGGTATCAGACAGGAAGTGATAAGGAGAACAGCCGTGGATGTTCAACTCGTAAATTAGAACCGGTTTCTTTCCACACTTTCCCTGAGAAAACAGACACATTCAGTTCAGGTGAATGCAGCACAGATACCAGATTAAAACTGTGAGGGCGGACGTACCATGACATTTTTCAGTTCTTCAGCCAGGTTGTGCTCAGCGGTGCAGTCATACTGAACTTTAACAGACAGGAAATCTAAGTATTTCTGAAAAAGATGCATGTGTGAGTGTCGGGGTGCGGAACTCTTTTCTCACATATAAAGATTAACTTCACACATTTATCAAACACCTTTATCTATTAGGAGGCACCTTGAAATATGCGTTATATTAGATCGTACCTGTTGTTGGGTTTCACAGATGATTGGGATTTTACTGCCCTTTACCCCAACTGATACTTTTCCTTCTGCAACAAAATTACAAATTAATTCTGTTGTCAGTTTACTGCGTCCAAATCACATTCTCCTTCCCATTGCATTAGCACTCTCCTTATCATGACCTTAGGCACATACGGATAACAGATATGAAGGGGCAGTATCTCAATAAACATTGCCATAATCATTGTGCATATAATAAAACTGGACAACTGCAGCACAGCAGAATATCAACGCTCTCGCAATATGATTAAATATCAAAGGAATAGTGCTTTGTCACTGATACAGTCATGGGGATTGATAAACACTGTATTAAAGAATGAAAATAAACTGGACTTGAACTAAACTTAATTGGTGTTTAGGTGTCAAATAACCAGTAAAACTACCTAAATAATTCTCTATGCAAAGATAAAGAATCTCAGTTTCTCCAGCCACATGTGGTTTCTTGGCTTTGTATGTTTGGAACAGGCAGAAGAGTGGAGGGAAACAATAAAGGCACATAAATATTTTTATCAATTGCAAGCCCTCTTTTTTGAACAATGACTGACCAAATATTTCCCCTTTTCAATATTTTTCCTCCTTCTATACAAACTACAAGTTTTACACAAGAACTCAGAACATTAATGCTCTCAACTAAACACTGATCTCTTACCTCTCCCGGGAAACATCAGGTGGTAACGGCGATAGATTCTGCTGTGTGCATCAAGAGCGTTTTGCAGCTCAGCACCTGTTAGTTCATCCAAGCTGCTTAGTGTCACCCATGAGTCTACCAGCTCTCCAAACTCCCGAAACACAAACTCTGCGTACTGCTGAAACATGTCCACCAGCTCCTGGCTCTCCCAGCCTCCATACCCTGACCTCAGAGCCTCTGGCACAGTGGAGCCATGAAGAACAACCAGAGGCTGAAGGCCTGACTCCAGCAGCTGGCTCAGCAGGGTCTGGTAACAGGTCACCACAGCCTGGTGGGGCTGGCTGGGGAGGCCTGTAGGAAGAAGCTGAGCCCATGACAGTGGCATCTTGAAGTGGGTCACCCCTCTGCTCTGGAGGTACTCAAAGTACTGTCTAGAACCAGGAGGTATGGGCTGACTGCAGTCAAAAGTGTCTAGCAATTGTCCTTCAAATACTTCTTCATTCAGTCCTTTCACCTGTTCACTAGTCATGGGACCTGCAAGGAACATGGCCTGCTGTTGATCGTCATGTCTCTGACACATGCACCCATACAGAGCTATCAAACACAGAAAGAGCAGTCTCCCCGGTGATGACATATTGTCGATGGGAGGCAAAGTGTTTGAGCCCTTGGCTAGCTTACAATTTATAGTTGTGCTGTTTACAAGCTTGAACTTTCAGTCAAGCCAGAGTTTCATAACGTTCACTAGTGTAAGCTGCTGTTGGTATATGAGTGGTCGCAGCCTTGACTGCTCCTGATAAAATGCAAAGGGTCAAACAGGGAGAAGAGATTTATGAGGGAAGGGAACAAATATCTGTGCAGAGGTCAAAGAGAAAAATCTGGATAAAAATATTATGAGAAAATGCGGATCTTATAAAGCATTCTTAGAGGCAGGGATTGTGTTTGGGGAGTCCCTGCAGGTAAACACTATATAATCATCATATTATTAAGAGTAATCACTGTTGTTGGTTTGGATTTGAATTGTTCGGACATTGTGGCCTCTTTGGACTCATCTGTCAACAGCCTCATCTGCAGTGACACCTTGTTTATCTCTGTATTATTTTTAAAGAAACAGCAGCACAAGTAATCGCACCTGTGAATTCAACAGCTTGATAGGAGTTTTGTATTTTGTATTGTTACATTTATTAGAGATAGACTATATTATATGTAGAAAAAATGTTTTGAAAATTGTAGAGATTGTTATTGTCAACACAAGGTGAGCCCCATGGTTGTGAATTTAAGAGGACATAATAATCCTAGGACAAAGGTTTCAGGATCAGGTAAATCTGACAGTGACAGATGTTGGGTGTACTTTACTGACTGATTGTATTTTAATTTGACAGGAGAGAATGTTATAATGTGCACAAATCGGAATTTAAAATGTTTTTTTTTAAATATTTACATCTGTGCATGACACAGCATGGATTAGAGAGATATTGATAACCATCTATCATTTTTTTATCATTGTAATTTGAATGGAGGCTGAGTTTATTATTTCCAAGGAGGGGGTTAATTTGAGTCTGTTGTTGTTGATGCAAAAGCTGCTTCATCATTTTGGAAAATACATACTCAAAAGACCTGTTGAAAAATCTATAAGAAATTTTCATAACTGCTGATTTAATTTGGAATGATCTTCATTAATTACACATGCAAATCAAATCACAAAGAATGTAAACATTTGTGTAGGATGAATAGGTGTTCCTCTCTCAGCCAGCTTTGTGTGCATGCAAATATATTAGATTACAATTTATATACAAATAAAAATATATATTTTCAAATTAGCGATTTTACTTTACTGTACTTGAGTTTGTCTGAAACAAAGAGAAATACAAAACAGCTAGGGAGAAAAATGCAGGCTCCACTTGAATGAAATTGTCACTAAACTTAACTTTTAAATTGTCTCTCACCCTTTAAATTTAAACTACTAAAAACGTCTAAAACATTTGTACAAATTGCAACAGCATATTTCATGGTCTTCAGACGTGAGTACATGTGAGTCCAGAGTCTTTCTGACTATCACAAAGCTGCAATAAAATTAGTTGCACCACGTGGATGTGATATCGATCTTGATTGTCTAACGTTGCGATAAGGAGAAAACATTATTCCTTTAAAGATCTTGACTATCAGTGGATAATATCAGTCCATCCTTTTCCAGCCACAATGGAGAACCTGTTGTGGCTTCTGTGTCTGTTTGTCGTGTGTGTGTGCGAGTGTTGGAGCAGTGGGGTGAATGGACAGGAGGACTTCATGCTCCTTGCTGGCCCCCTGAACAAACAGCTGGCGAAGAACTCAGACAGTGAGGTGAATGATGCTTTTGACTGCAGTCAGCCCATACCTCCTGGTTCTAGACAGTACTTTGAGTACCTCCAGAGCAGAGGGGTGACCCACTTCAAGATGCCACTGTCATGGGCTCAGCTTCTTCCTACAGGCCTCCCCAGCCAGCCCCACCAGGCTGTGGTGACCTGTTACCAGACCCTGCTGAGACAGCTGCTGGAGTCAGGCCTTCAGCCTCTGGTTGTTCTTCATGGCTCCACTGTGCCAGAGGCTCTGAGGTTACGGTATGGAGGCTGGGAGAGCAAGGAGCTGGTGGACATGTTTCAGCAGTACGCAGAGTTTGTGTTTGGGGAGTTTGGAATGCTGGCACACTCATGGGTGACACTGAGTGACTTAGGTGACGCTCGGCGTGATTGGGAGCCTGTGGCTGATCCCCGGCCTCTGCAAAATATCCTGCAGCTCCACAGGAACATTTACAAGATCTACCATCAACATTTTGGTGCAGAAGGTAAGAAGATATGATTTACTGACATAGTTTGTATATATTTTTTCGATGCTTGAATTTATATTTGAATTTATTTACAGGAAAGCCCCTTGAGGTATTGCATCTCAAATAAACTAGCAAAGAAAAACAGCATAGCAGAAAAAATAGACATTACACATTACAAATCAGTTACAGTATTGAAGCACTTTTCAAAGCATTAACAGGTTGTTAATATTAAGCCATACTAAATAAGCTATGTGATTCATTTCATTTTAAATGTGTCTTGAAAATCCTCTAAATTAAAATAATTGTTTTTTGGCCAACTGATACTCATACCATTCACCTCATTACATTGCTGTGTGCTCAGATTCCATGTGTAGACTATCACGCCCGTGTCAGTAATCAGTTGAGCTCAATAAAAGAAAAAGGACTATTTATGCAACGCTGAAAAGAGATTGAAGTCTACCACGTGACTCAGCAGGTGCAAATCCAATATGTGTCTGCATAAATTATACTGATGTTAACATAAGGCTCATATGTTCACAGGGGGACGTCTGTCAATTGGTTTGAGAGCTAGTGATGTGGAAATGATTCCTCAGATTAAAGATTCAACGACAGTAAGCTGCACCTTTTATCTTCCAGCACATACTGTATTACCTGACCATTACCTTTTATATTGCCATCTTCTTAAGGTGCTGTTGTATTGTATTTTGACAGTTTTGAATCAAAATAAGATACATGTTTTCAATACATGTACAAAAACATGTAATTAAGAGAAATATCACTATGTTTTTAATGGATATTATGTCAATCCTGAATTTTACCCGCATGAATGGGAGAAAATAATTGATAATAAAATATATTGTTGCTTAAGAATAAACTTCTGTATTGGAAGAAGATAGATACTTAGATAGATAGATTTCAGGTCAAGACAGCTTAACTGCATGGAGACTCCCAAGGGAACTTCATCCTATCCACATGTAGTCAGAGTCATGTCAGAGTCCTTATTTCAAGATAACACTTTTAAAAAGAAACAGTGGTTAATGTATTATAGGTTTTTTTTCTCATTCCTTTTCACATAACACTACTGCTACTACTCATGTAAAGCTTCCATCACCACATACCTTCCCACTAACCAGTATCAGTATTGTACTTGGTAGGTCTGACAGTGTATCTGTAACAGTGTTTAGAGTAAGTCACTAATGTGTTACCTGTACAAGCAGTTTTTCATTAAGGGACAAGAGTGTAATAATATACTGTTGTGTGTCTCCTATTTGGAACAGATGGATTTCTTGTCAGTCCACACTGAATATAACTGTGCCTCAGCATCCAATTTTGCAGATGAGATGAGGAGTTTACAGGTACAGTGATCAACACAAGCTGTTTCTCTTCAGTTTGCATTTCACATTACTCTACAACCACATGCATGTTACGTTATGTTGTAGATGTCCAGTGGGAACTTGCCAGTACTGATATACAAGATGACAGCTCATGATTGTTCTTACAGTCAGTTCCAGCTCCTTGGCAATTTCCTGCAAGGTAATGCCATTACAGCTCAACTAATAGGCCTATTACTTTGTTATTTAATTTTCCACTTGTGCTTATCTTTAGAAACAGAAACCAAGAACATGTAGAGGAGAATATGCCTTCATATGGGTATAAGTAAAATTACTATGGCTTACTCTTATCTCCCTTATTCGATTAGTATAAATATATAAATAAATCCTGACTAATACTCGCTTTTTACTACCTTTTTCTCTATTCTGCCCCTCCAACAGGATCATATTAGGTCAAATCAGACAAAGTCTGTGACAATTTTTTTGTTTTTTTGAATTTATATCTGTAACTACAGTTCTAATACCACTGTGGGCAGCTGCATACATGCATACATGTTATCAAAACAATAAAGCTCCAGTAAAAACATTCTGCTTCAGGTTGAAATCAGTTTAAACTTTAAACATAGTCATAACACAATTTGCAAAAAGTAATAACAACTATTAAAAGATTGTAAGTAACAATCAAAACTAGTGTCAAAACTATTTTCATCAAGGCATTTTCAATAAGCAAATAAGATAAACAGGGCAACTAGATGAGGCTGTACTGTTGTAAACTGTAACATTGTAAACCTTTATTGTACAATAATCATAAAAGTTTACTTTCTTGGGCTCTAACAGAGTGTTATCATATGACAGTGATTTGTGTAAATTGTTCATGCTATAGACCAGTAAAAGTTTTACAAGGAAAATCATGACCAGCCTTTGGACTTTCTATTTATTAGTTCATTCATTAAGCTACACACAAACAGCTAGAGTACACAATCTGTCTGACAGTCATTGTTTAATTTAAAAATTGTCATTACAACTGAACTGTGGTTAGATGAAGTATTAGGCATTATGTGTTTGTTGTAGATTTTTCTTTTGGCAAAAAAATTTATATTTGAGCAACTTTATCAACTTAAATGTCAATGCCTTAAAAAAAAATGTAGATACAATAGTTTCATATTTTATTCATTAATGTCTGTTGTGAACGCCTTACAGTCCTGAACAACAATGACCTGAACATTGTGGGATGTGACATGATGGACATTCTGGGTAAGCTGGGCATGCAGGAGGATCAATTCAGGTAAGAGTTTATCTCTAGAAATTTAATTATGCTTATCTACTGACAAAGTTTCTTTGTTGGTATTTAAGTTGTTCTATCTTGATCTCTTTTCCAAAAATGACAGCGTTGCCGAATACACAGAGATGACAGAGTCCAGAAACAGTTATCAGAATGTGTGGCACAAGTTTGAGGCTCAGACTACATTGGAGCGTGACCTTTTCCTCAAAGACTCTTTCCCTACAAACTTCCAATGGGCCACCTCCAGTGAGTCCTTCAAGGTTGAAGGAGGCTGGTCAGAATGGGGGAAGGGGGAGACCATTTGGGATCGCTTTGGTCATGAAGGCCTGGCCTTTGCTAATCAGACAGCTGATCTAGCCTGTGACAGTTTCTACAAGGTGGACTATGATGTCTACCTCCTGCGAGGTCTCCATGTCAACACCTACCAGTTCTCCATCTCCTGGGCCCGTATTTTCCCCTCAGGCCACAGAGGCAGCCAATCAGAGAAAGGGGCTCTCTACTATGACAAGCTGATCAATGCACTCATTGAGTCTGGCATACAACCTGTTGTCACTCTCTACCACTGGGATCTGCCTCAARCACTCCAGGATCAYGGTGGATGGACCAACACTTCCATTGTTGAAGCCTTCAAGGACTATGCAGACTTCTGCTTCTCCAGGTTTGGAGACAGGGTCAAGACTTGGAACACATTCAGTAGCCCCTGGGTGGTGAGCCATGCTGGCTATGGCACTGGTGAGCACCCCCCTGGAGTAAAGGATTATGTGGTTGCCTCCTATCAGGTGAATGTACAGTCATTACTATACTATAAATACATGTAAATATATGTCATATGACATTTACCTGACAGTTGTTTCCATCTCTGCAGGCCACTCACAATATACTCAAGTCTCATGCTGAGGCCTGGCATGTCTACAATGACAAGTACCGAATGAAACAAGGAGGGAAAGTGGGCATTGCATTRAATTCTGACTGGGCTGAGCCCATGGACCCCTCCAGACCTGAAGACATAGCGGCTGCAGATCGCTACCTGCAGTTCATGCTGGGCTGGTTTGCACATCCCATATTTGTAGATGGAGATTATCCTGCAACACTCAGGACTCAAATTGAAGAGAAAAGAAGAGTGTGTCCCAATTCTGAGCCTGCAAGGCTTCCAGYTTTCACTCCTCAAGACAGAAAGAGGATCCATGGAACAGCAGACTTTTTAGGGTTAAACCATTATACCTCCCGGTTGGTMAACAACAGTGRTGGTGGCTGCACCCCTGGTCCTCAGGGAGTTGGTGATTTCCAGGCTCATGTGGATCCATCATGGTCCTCTACAGCTTCTGACTGGATATATTCAACACCATGGGGCCTTCGAAGGCTTCTAAACTACATTTCCACAGAATACTTGAATGTTACTAAAGTGCCTATCCACATAACTGGGAATGGGATGCCTASCGAGTACAGTGGGGACACTCTCAATGATACCAGCAGGATAGAGTACATGAGGAGTTACATCAATGAGGCCCTGAAAGGTATGCTGTTGGTAGTAGTGGATACTGTCACCTGTGTTGTTAGTGATTTAGATACATCTTTTGTACAAATCAATGGTTAAGTGATAGATAAATTATAAAAATATTGTTTGTGTCTTGTACCCTGTAAATAYTAATAATAATGATAAGAAGAAAACATTTTAAATGGTTTTGTGGCTCAGTGTCTCTATTCTCTCAACAGCTATACAACTGGATGGCGTAAATGTTCAGCGGTTTACTGTCCAGTCACTCATGGATGGTTTTGAGGGTCCACAAGGCTACAGTGAACGGTTTGGACTCCACCATGTCAACTTTGATCTACCCGACAGACCCAGGACTCCAAAGCAGTCTGCCTACTTTTACTCTGAAGTTATCGAGAAAAATGGTTTTGCTTCCAAAAAACTGTTCTTTCATGCACCAGATAATGCAAATACGAAGTCAAATAAAGTTTCCTCAATGCCACCTTCMACAGTCCCKTCACAAGCCAAGGGTGTCTGGAGGAAATTCTCTAAWCAAACCAATTTTCAGAGAAAACTCTACCACTATGGTGTCTTCCCASAAGGCTTCAGGTGGGGAGTGTCATCATCAGCTTAYCAGATTGAAGGTGGCTGGAATGCAGATGGAAAGAAGCCCAGCATCTGGGATACATTCACCCACAAACCTGGCAATATTCCTGGTAATCCTAATGGAGATGTGGCCTGTGACAGTTACCACAGACTTGATGAAGACCTCTACATGCTGCGAGCTCTGATGGTGAAGTCATACAGATTCTCTCTGTCCTGGTCCAGGATMTTTCCTGATGGTCGGCGTACCTCCCTGAACCAGAATRGTGTTGATTACTACAATAGACTCATTGATGGTCTCTTAGCCTATAACATTACCCCCATGGTGACACTCTATCACTGGGACCTCCCTCAAGCTTTGCAGGACATTGGTGGATGGGACAATGTAAACATGATTRATATATTTAATGACTTTTSTGACTTCTGCTTTAACAMGTTTGGAGACAGAGTAAAGTTTTGGATGACCTTCAACCAGCCTCAAACAATTGCATGGTCAGGATATGGACTTGGACAGATTCCGCCAAATGTTAAAAATCCAGGAATTGCACCATACAGAGTTGCACACAACCTGATTAAAGCTCATGCCAAGGCCTACCACACATATGATGATAAGTATCGGACATCCCAAGGTGGTCTAGTGTCCATTGCCCTCAATGCTGATTGGATAGAACCTCAAGATGTTACGGTTCCCAGAGAAGTGGTGGCWGCTGACCGTGCTCTGCAGTTTCAACTGGGCTGGTTTGCGCACCCTATTTTCAAGAATGGTGACTATCCTGATGCAATGAAGTGGCAAGTTGGAAACAAAAGTGAACTCCAAGGTCTTTCAGAGTCAAGACTTCCTTCCTTYACTGAAGAAGAAAAGAGCTTCATCAGGGGAACTGCTGACATGTTCTGCGTAAATCACTACACCACAAGGATTGCAAGCCACGCTACATTGAGGCTCACACCTCATTCTTATGAATATGACAGAGATTTGTCAGAAGCAGAGGAAAGTGATTCACCAACTACAGCCGTCGGTAACCAGAGAGCTGTTGCCTGGGGTTTGAGAAGACTCCTCAACTGGATCAAAGAAGAGTATGGAGATCCAGAGATTTACATTACTGAGAATGGAGCAGCTACGGGATCAACGACAACTTGGGATGACTCTGCTAGAGTATTTTATTTCAAGACCTATATTGACGAGGCTCTTAAAGGTGCACGGACATTAACAAAGTTCTTAAGATTAATATTAATGATTGTCATGACTGTTAAGGTTTTTCGCTAATTTGTTGTGCTTGTGTATATTTTGACAATAGCCCATGACCTAGATGGTGTGAAGGTGAAAGGATATGTAGCAACATCTCTCATGGATTCTTTTGAGTGGCTTTATGGGTACAGAATTGGATTTGGGTTACACCATGTGGACTTCACCAACCCAAACCGGCCAAGGACACCCAAGTACTCAGCTCATTTCTACTACCAAGTCATTAAGGACAATGGTTTTCCTACGCCAGATGATGATAAGATGATTTATGGACATTTCCACAAGGATTTCATTTGGAGTACTGCAACAGCATCATACCAGGTAACTTTTAAGCTGAATCCCCCTCATTAATGCTTCATCAAGGAGGTGCATACACATCCCTTATTCAGCTTTTGTCTACTTAAATTTCTGTTTAACATCTACCCTTTCCAGATTGAAGGGGGGTGGAGAGCAGATGGAAAAGGCCTCAGCATTTGGGACAAGTTTGCTCACACTCCTCTCCGAGTGTTTAATGATGACAATGGGGACATAGCATGCAACAGTTACAATAAAGTTGAAGAGGATGTTGCTATATTGAGGGAACTTAAAGTGACTCATTATCGGTTCTCCATATCATGGTCAAGGGTGCTTCCTGATGGCACCACCAAGCACATCAATGAGGCTGGACTCAACTACTACCATAGACTGGTGGATGCACTGCTTGCTGCAAACATCCAACCTCATGTATGTGTTATTATAAACAATATCTCAAGAATGTTTTCAATACAAAATAGTAAAAAATAAATATTTTCTGTTGTCAGATCACTCTCTTCCACTGGGACCTTCCACAAGCACTGCAGGATATTGGGGGCTGGGAGAACGAAACTATTATTGTCAAATTCAGAGACTATGCAGACCTCATCTTCAGTCGTCTTGGTCACAAAGTAAAATTTTGGATCACTATAAATGAGCCATACAATGTCGCCAATGTAGGCCATGGCTATGGAGCAGCTGCCCCAGGTATGTCTTAATGTAATGCTCTCCATCTTACATACAACCTCGCACCAATATTTGTATTTTTATTTGGTGAGGAAAAGTTCTTTAAATCAGGGAATTTTATCAAAATAGTATGGCACACTTGTACTGCCACAAACATTTTGTTGGACTGTTTGACAGCTAAAACCACAAAAAGCATTTAACTTAACAAACTTGTATTACTCTGTGTCCAGGGATCAGTTTCCGACCAGGTACTTTGCCCTATATTGTGGGTCACAACCTGCTTAAAGCTCATGCTGAAGCCTGGCACCTCTACAATGACAAGTACCGAGCCAAACAGAAAGGAATTATCTCTATCACTATAAACTCTGACTGGTCAGAACCCAGAAATCCCTACAAGCAGGAGGATATTGATGCTGCAAGACGCGTGGTGCAGGTACAATTATTTCAAAATGTTATACATTTCAACATGTGTAAAGTCTCTAATAGCTCTGTCTCTCTTTGCAGTTTTACATTGGCTGGTTTGCCCATCCTGTATTTAATGGAGACTACAGCAATATGATGAAGACAATCATTCGAGAGCGAAGCTTAGCAGCTGGTCTGCCAAAATCACGGTATTATAAACACTAATGTAAATTCTGAAGAGAAATAAGGCAAAATTATAATCTGTAGCAAAATTAGATAAAATAGGAAATTAGGGGGGACCTAAAATTAGCCACGGTCATTCTTTATTGTGGTGGTTACCATTTTTCAGTCATCAAGTAAATTCTACTATTTCACTTAATTTTCTCTAGGCTACCTGAGTTCTCTCCTGAGGAGATTAAGAGAATTAAGGGTACCTATGATTATTTTGGGTTCAACCATTACACCACTGTGCTGGCGTTCCCTGTGGATTATGGAAACCTTCAGCACTATGATGCTGATAGGTAAGCAGTACCCACAGTTGCACTGCACTCTCACTCTGCCACATAAGTAATATTCACAAGATGGTTCAATGAAAATGATTCATCATCTTATTGTGTGCTATATTCAATGTTCACTGCATAAATAAAAGAAAAATAATGGTTGATCTTCACAGGGGTGCAGGGACCATCGCTGATCGCACCTGGCTGGATTCAGGTTCATCTTGGCTGAAGGTGTCACCATTTGGATTTAGGAGGATTTTAAACTTTATTAAGGAGGAGTATGGGAATCCACCTATTATCATTACTGAGAATGGCATTTCAGAGCGAGGGCCTATTGACCTGAATGATATTCACAGGAGCTACTACTATGAAAAATACATCAACCAGGTGCTGAAAGGTATAAAACTACGACTTTAATGAAATACATTTAGGATGAAGTGAAACAGAGGGAAACAGTTACCAATGATTTACCAATAAGGTTGTTTGTATTAGGTTTTAAAATGGTGTCTAATTTGACCCTCTTTAAGCCAACTTGCTGGATGGTGTGGATATCCGGGGTTACACAGCTTGGTCGCTGATGGACAACCTAGAATGGGCAACTGGCTTTTCAGAGAGATTTGGCCTTTTCTATGTCAATCAGTCAGACCCTGAGCTTTCTCGTGTGGCCAAGTCCTCTGTTGCCGTCTATTCCACTATCATCAACTGCAACGGATTCCCTGACCCAACCTCAGGGCCCCATGAGTGTTTGAACCCTGTGCCTGAAGGTAAACTGATGCACAATTGCTCAGATACCAGTTGTGATTGATTACTTCTACATACATTGCACCTTTTATTCATCCTGAGATATTTGTATTCTTTTTTTTCTAGTTTTGTGTCTGTGTGTTACTGTCAATGTGCCCACTCACTCCCAATATAATCTTTCTGTATTCTCTCATGGGCTCACTCAGACATTCTTCATAGTTTTTATCAGGGGACGGGCAGGAAAAAGTCCAGAGAATGTCCAGAGCCTGTGACTCAGTGATTTGCATTCTCACATACAGCCTCTCCAGATAATTTTAGGAGATTATCTGAAGTACAGTGCTTATATTAATGGAGCTAAACTGAAACATACTGCAGGAGCTGTATGTATATTGTCAATCTTAAATTAATTGACAATATACAGTATCTACTTTGTATTGTATTGTTGTAAAATAGTGTGACATTGAGTTTTCAGAATTTAAAATCAATATAATTAATCGATAAGTATCAAGCTGGATCTATTGGACTGATAGCTTAGCATAGTAGGCACAAATGCAATTCCTGTCCCTGTCCACAGGTAAAAAATAAAAACACAAGTTATGCTGCTTAAAAGCTCCTGTACAAAAACAAGTTACCGTTTTATAGACGAATGTGATGTTCCTAGACAAGAGCACTGACCTGAAATCTTGTCTTGAGTTAGTTTCTTACCTTTAGACAAAGCCAGCGGAGCTGCTTCCTCATGCTTTCAGACTATATCCTAAGCTAAAGCTAAGTGTCTGCTGGCTGTATAGTTTCATATTTAACTGAGCAAGTGAGTGAGCAGTACTGGTCTGCTCCTCTAACTCTTAGTGAGACAACAGAAAGGTGGAACATAACATGAAGTGATAGTACAGCCTTAGATTTTTCTTTATGTAGACCAAATATAGAATCACACTTACTGTCGAGCAATATATTCAAAATGACCATAATAACCTTGGTGTCTTTTCTGCAGGGACGAGTGCTCCGATCACTGATGACACGGTGAAATTCCTGGGTATGAATCTTTCTACCAGTGACGCTGAGACTGGACTCAATGTCACATTTGCTCTCCTGGTTGTTGCAGTGTTTGGGGCTATGTGTTCATCTTTTTGCTTCTTTAGGGCAAAAAAAACAATCTAAGACAATTGTCAAAATACCTGCATGTTAATAAAGTAGAAGTTGAAATATGTTTAGATATTTATAGCAGGCTTTTAAAAGGCTATGATCTTGTCATGAAAACATGATTAAACAAATGTATTTTATTTTGCTGTAATTCAATAATATATCTAATATCTTACTGCTGCTCTCACTACTCAATTATGAATCTCCAATTATTTGACTCTCTGCTAAACTGATCCTGAACACACTGAATCTCATAACATCTGGCTGTGAGTCTGTTTTTATGGCAGCTCGGTTAAAAATATTTTGTATCCATCGTTTGTGGATGATTCAATCATTTAAGAAATAAATGGCTGCAACGTCAGGCTCAGACTCACCTTTTAATTTTTTTCTACCAGGAGCAGATGCAGCACAACACATTTTTCACTTTACATGCCCTTTGACTTTCTAGCCCCCCTGTTAGAACCAGAAGAAACACAACCACTGTAACACCTGCAGGCTGCAGGTATTGGTTCCTTTCTTGTTGCCAACTCTATTTGTAGTGACTTCAAGAAAACAAACTTGTCGTTGAGAGGCTGAGGTCGGGCCTAATATTCTGTATGACGCACTAATCAAAAAATCACTGAAGTGCGTAAATATGCGTTTGAATTTTTATTAAGAAAAAAAGATCAACTTGGAACATGCACAATAGATTAAAGCAATCAAATGGCAATGTTAGCAAAGCTTAGCATAGCGGTCAACAAAAAATAGTGTCCCAGGTGCTCATATAAACTATAACCCCCGCCCATATCCTACTTCCTGCCAAATCAATATGATCACTAATTAACAATCAATAACAAATAATACTTCCAAAATACAAACCCAATATATAATGTATTCAAGGCTCCTACACTATTATTCCCAAAATATACTCACCATACATCACACAACAAAAACCCTTTTTTTCTCCTAATAACTTACCTACTGAAATATTCCAAGCTGGATTTAAAAGCAGATATTAAACACAACAGCACATTCTTGCCCACTCGAACACATCGCTCATTGTAAAACCAAAGATATTGCAGCACAAACTAGGATTAAAAAGCAGGACATGTGCTGTGGAGACGAGATGTTGAATGTTATGTGCAAAGAAAATTCAAGCTATATGTTTATGGGCTGTGCACTTGGTAAAGTTGTTTTGACCTGTAGGATTCACTAACATCCACTAGAGCTCACTGTAGATTCAAATTGGTTTAGGAGAGGCTGCAGGTCTGAATACAAGTCTTTCAATATGTTCCTGTCAAGAAACTATATTACAGCCCAGAAAGTGATGCCAGGAAAAAGATGCATCTTTATCCGACCAAATCAAATAGTTAAATCATGGCAAGCATTTATTATTTACCATAAACTGTTGAACAATCACAAGTTATGTAGCTGAAACATGTGCAAAGGTTGTCCGTCAGGCTGTCTGGCACTTGGGCTACATATGACAAGTCCCTTGATTCTTTTTATAAGTCTATTTTTATTTAATAATTTTGAGTCTGAGAATTTGTCACTAATAGTGTAGTGTTTAAGCAACTCCAATGTATGAAAACCCCTTACTCTATAGAAATGATTCTATTCCTTTCACTTAACGTTTACTTTATTCTACATGAATTAAAAATTAAAATGACTGGACCTGGACAATTTTCAAGCAAGTAAAGAAATGATACTGACACCATTTGAAAACTGGTATTTGCTGAAAAAAATTTATTTAAAAATTTCTAACCACAAATTACTATCAATACAAAACGTATAAAAAGTACAAAAGCATAGCTCAAAAATAAGTTGAGATGACAATATTGGAGTTGGCACCGATGGTACTGTGGGTATGATTCAGAATAGAAAAGATGGCAGCTTGGAGCGCATTCAAGCAACTGAATTCACATTGAAATGATTGCATCATTTACCACCCTTCCTTCTTGAGACTCTGGAACAGTCATAACACTAATCCAAACATCAGCACTTTCAGACATAGAACACGACACACAGCATTATCCCTTAACGATTACATTTGGGTCTGGAATCAAAAAGGAAGCACTTGCTGGTCAATGATGTAAACTTATTAAAATAAATTGCATGTTATTGAGTTTTTAAAGACATCGTTACAAAAATGACAGAAACTGTTGCAGTGAAACTTGCACTGAGCCTTTAGAGTGCACTAGTCCATTGATTGAATAACACTTTGGGGAGCTAAGATGGCCATCAATTGTGATTCCTTGACCAAAAGAAGAGAAAAAATGTTGGCCACAGTGACAAGAGCCTATTTTCATTACCACAATATTCTAAACTAATACAAAAATAAAGAACAGCATCAAATACAAAGTTTAAAACAATACAATATCAAGAGTTACATGTTTTTCAAGCATTACCCAGGTTTGTTTATTCCTTTGGAGAAAGGCACCCCAAGTGTGTTCCAGTTTCTATACCAGGCACCAGACTTTGGGAATGTTGACTGGCGCAGTACCATCATTGTGGAAGAAAAACAAAAAAAGATGACACACTTGAAAGAAACCTTTGTATGAACATCTCAAAGACTTCATCAGCATGACAAACATCCAGTACCTTTCATTTTTACAGGTGGTGCCTTGAACATTTAACCTTTTTTTTTTTTTGCATCTACAAGCACTCGCTGATTCAGTTCCTCACAAAATCCTACAATTTAAACATGTTTTGCACTACAACTGGCTTGGCCTTACAAAATGCCATCATATGGAGTTCTAGTTTCGGTCTAAGGCAAACTTGAGATGCGCTCACTGTGAACTTCCAACAGAGAAGAAACTCTTAAAAAAGGACTAATAGCTCTAAGTCTCAATATAAAAACTATAAAAAAGAGGAATAGCTGCCCTGAGGGAGAAGTTAACCTTAACCATTCTTGTTGCACGACGGTAGTTTGTTAGCACTTTGGATCTTCAGACAGGCTGGTGTCTCAAGTATTGCTGAGCTGAGACAACCATTCTCCTCCTCGTTCGACCACGGCTGGCCCGTAACACTGGAAGGCTTGAGCTGACTTCATCCACCTCAAGCAAGTTCATGACATCACACATACACACATGCGCCATTCGATTCCCTTGTGTGCTCTCACTGCTCCTGATGTGAAGTGTTCAGCGGATGATAACCTATGCACGGAGACCTGTGAACATAGTGATGGTGTCAGTTTAAGTAAAGCATTTAGTTTGAAGGTTTAACACAATCAAGATACAAGCTTACTGCTGATTGGACCGATAGAAAAAAGAATGAAAAGGTCGAAACCATACCTTTCTCACATGTGCTGCTCTGCTTCTCCTGGGCAAAGTTTAATCTGTTCTGCTCGACTGCAGTGCCATTGGACTCCGGGCTGCTGCTGCGTGACGGGCTGTTCTCCTCGTTCTGGTAAGCCATATCCAGATGTTGCTGGGCAAGTTTTAGGTGTCTGCGCAGCCTCTCCAGCTCCCGTGACGAAGCCTCGTCCCCAAACGACTCACGGCCCGAGTCCCCCAAGTTGTCCCTAAAGCCTATTTTTCCTGTTGGGTCCTTCTTCAGAGCTGTGTGGTAGCCTGGAGGCGCAGAGGGCTGGCGGCAGATGGAGGACCTCTGGCTAGCTAGAGCTGGGTGACGGGGTGTGGGAGGCCGAGACCTTGGTGCACAAAAGCAGTCGCGAATACCACTGATGCCAAGGTGGAGGATTTCTAACATGGTGAAGAGCAGACACAAAGCGCTGACTGCATACATGATGAGCAGGAAGATCGTTTTTTCTGTTGGACGTGAGACAAAGCAATCAACTGTGTGCGGGCAAGGAGAGCGTGTGCATACATAGGACGGCACCACTTCTATCCCATACAGGATGTACTGTCCAAACAGGAAAGAGACCTCAAAGATGGCACGTGATAGCAGCTGAAACACGTAGACCTTCATCAGGCCATCTCTCTTGATGCGGCGGCGTCCATCGTGCTTTTTGCTGGGCTTCTCAACAACTTCCTTTTCCTTTTCAGGCTCAATCTCCTCCAGGATCATGGGGTCCTCTTCCCCGTTATCCTCTGCTTCTTCGTAGTCCCGATTTGCACCGCGGCTAACAATAGGCATCCTCTTCCTGCTCCTGGGCCGGTAGTCATCGTCCTCCATGCGGGCGATCTTATGCATAGCAAAGCCAAGGTACATGATGGTGGGGGTGGTGATCATAATCACCTGAAAGACCCAAAAGCGAATATGTGACAGTGGTGCAAATGCGTCATAGCACACATTCTCACAACCGGGTTGCTGTGTGTTGCACACGAATTTACTCTGTTCATCATAGTAGATTGACTCTCCCCCGACTGCTGTCAGCACAATGCGAAAGACGATGAGGAGGGTGAGCCAGATTTTTCCCACGAAGGTGGAATGATTGGAAATTTCATCCAGCAGACGTGTGAGGAAGCTCCAGCTCATTTTGTCTCCGGAACAGGAGGGAAACTCTCAAACCTGTGCAGAGAAAAAAAACACTTATTCAGGTGTTTTAAAGGAGGAAGTCACTGACAATGAAAAAAACATAAAAGATATAAACACAAAATCAAGTTCAAGGCCCCATGTAGGGTAGAATAGTTTGTAAACAAAGAGATTTAACAAAATCGAAATAAAAGAATAGAATACAAATAGAATATCTGGGTCATAAATGTAACCTACATCTCTTATGAAATAAAATGCAAACCATACATTTTCTCTGCAATCTTGCTTTAAGTAAAATTGTATTGACTAGTTTTAATGTTAGTATGTTCATAAGCAAGATTACACAAAACAACATAACACATATTCACAAAAGTTGGTGAAAGGATTCCATTCATGGGAGAAAACATTAAATTTAGGTACAGATCTGGATCGAGGGGCAGTAAAAATTCAGAGCAGCTTGATCAGGGCCACTGCTAAACATCTGGTTGCCCTTGGCATAATTACTTTGTGGTGCCAGAGCTTGATTGAATCTAAGTGGACTGTTAGGCCTTGGCAGAGGTATGTGCTGTTGTCAGAGGTATGTGCCATTCAATGTATTTTTGTTCTTGTTATTGGACCACCGAGCCACAAGGTGGAGCAGTTGTTTCACTGTTACCTAGAGACATCTCGAACAATCCTCTGCTCTATGAGGGAATGCAGAGATCCCAGAAGTTTCAGTAGATGCTATCAGTTAGTCACTAAACCACAACAAAGCTAATCTAAGGACTGTGGAATGAGGACATGTTCTACAAAGACAGTAAAGACAGAGCATGAGACAGAGCTTGTACTCTAATACAGTAATCTTAACCGTAACCAGAATTAGCACTCTTATTCCATTTCAATCAATCCATATGATAATTCTAGTCTCACCTGAAGATTTTACATACTCAAATCGTCACATTCATCCTGATTGTCGGGGTTGAAAAAACTGAGTGGGCCACAGTAAAGAGCTGACTACACTACAGAGGCAACAAAGAGCGCCTGTGGTTTTACACCAACTGAGATCTGTCTCATAACTTCTGCTGAGTAATTAGCCACTACTAATAAAATATACTGCCATGGTTGTGTTAAGTACCAAAACAGTTTACTGGAGAGCTGAAAGCTTATACCATCCCACACCTGAAGGTTTCAGAGCTGTTCTAGTCCTAGTGGAAATGATTGGCACCTTTTGAAGCTAAAGAACTGTACATAATTAAAATATCTTCAGTCATCAATGCAAATCAACCATTTTTACTTCAACCTTATCACCATGACAATTAATAGCATCTTTGACTAATATTTGGTTGTGGACAGCAATCTAATAGCTGGTGGTTTCTACCACTCCTCTAATGTCACATGTCCATGCTCTGTTTGTTAGGACTCATTTTCCCCCTTGATGGGATTTAGGTCAGGACTTGTGGCTGCTCAGTTTTCTCCTGAATAAGACTTCCTTGATCTTATCAGTTGACTCACAGCAATGAAACATGCCAGGACTTAATGTCAGCTAACAGTTCCACCTCATTGGTCGAATACAAAATTACCCCTTTTCACCACTTTTTTTGGTTTGTAGTATTTTCTGTAACTAAGCAACCAACTGCAGAGTAGACAATCTCCTTCCTGTTTACTGACACACCAGCCCAGTTTACATGAAGAGTCACGACACGTCCCTTTTCTGGTGCATTTCCATGGACACAGATAAAAGCACACAGAGCTAAAAGGTACCATGTGGAGCAAGATCAGTGTAGTTTTAAAAACAAAACGTATTCTTGTGGATGTAGCCAGGGAAGAGCATTTTATTCAAAAATGCCTCTGATCCCATCTTCCTGTTGATACAATCAAAGTACCAAGGCAGGAAAGAAGTCCCACAGCAGGACTGAACCCCAACATGTTTTACAGTGTACTGTTTATTTTCCTTAGTGGTGGATTCACCATTGTGCAATCTCTTTGTTCAATAAAGACAGAACATTTCTACAAATATTCTGGTTCCAAAAAATTGGTTTGTTTACATTTTTTTCCTGAGGATATTAATACGAATTACATTCTTAATTTTGACCATGCACATTGTCTTTAAGTCCTGAATTTGAAGCAAACGATACCTTTAATTCTTTCAAGCCCTCGCCAAATTATCTACCAAACTGAATCCAAATGACAATTGGTGGCTGTTTTTTTTACACAACCAGACTTCTGTTCTGAAAACAGTATTTACTTTACTGCAGCCACAGTGTATAGGAAGCACAGTGAACAATCTGTAAATATGACACTTTTAGTTACATCATTTCATTTTGACATCAGGTCACCAGGTCACCAACAGAACTAAAAAGTCCCCCATGGTCAGATTTGCATTCTGAACTGAATTTAGCAGCAGCTTTGTCCTCCCATGTCTGTAGATTTCCCAGACGGGCAGTACAAAATCCACACCCACATTTTGCTGTGGCTAGCAAGATGTGCGGACGTGAGCCCAAGCCTCAGTAATGTCTGTGTAAGCAGCACAAAGATGTGCTGGACAAGTAACCCTCACATTATTAAACTTTTCCCAGGACTTGAGCAACCTTACAATTTTTACAATATTGCTCTTTGGTCTAACGATTAAAAATTACAGAGGAATACACAATCTACTCATCCTTTTTTATAATAAGTTATCTGAAATCATTTTAATGAGATTTTTTTAATTATGAACTATAATATTCTAATGGATCGAATCAAATTTAATGACTTGTAAGACCTTTAAAAGGAAAGAATAATACAATTATTGCAGGCCATAAGTGAAAAGTGCTGAATATGGTCAGATTGGTGGGTTGTCATCTTCCAACAACTTCTAGTTAAATGAGCATTTACCTAATGTCCATAGACCATAGGCTACATGACTAGGGGGTCTGTTTTTCCCCCAAAAACAACACACTATGTAGACTGGGTACAAACTATTTGACATAGCCTTCACACAAAGATGTTGTTGAAATACATATTTATTTGAAAATTCTGGTAAAATAAATCACAAATGAGAAAATATATATACACGCTCTGTCATTCTGCCCAGAGATCAAATGTAATGCTTTCCCCCATACAATTATACATTTTGAGATATTTTCAGACTCTCATTATTGTCAACTAAATGTAAGACATTTAAGACTTTAAGGATCCACAGAGATAGGGCTGTCACTTTTTATTCGAAATTCCAACCTTCATTCAAACATAGGGGGAAAGTTTGTATTCAAACTGTAAAGACCCAATTTCAAAATATGCCATCTAGAGACGCGTCGGATCATCTTAAGTAGTAACAATAGTGTGTCATGTCAATAAGGGGACCCTGGTTCAAAGTTCCTGTGACATGGAACCACTGAGAATCCAGCAAGGAGGCTTGATAAAAGCTATATAAAAGCATTGGTGACTCCCAAGTGTGCATGGGGGTTACTGTATGAATATCTAAATTCAATGTTAAGTTTGCATGAAACCATCCTTCAATACATAAAGGTTTAGAATGAAGCACAAAGGCTTCCATTGTGCAGCAGCAGTTTAGGTCCTCCTCACAAACTGACAACTCAAACACCTTCATGACCCAGTGGCTGTCTTACTCTTTGATGAGATCATTGATTTTTATTCTGTGGTGATAAAGAGTTCACGTTCCGTCTGTAATGTGTGTTTACATGTAAAAACACAGAGATAAGATTGTTTATCAGGCTCTATTATCCCATTGATATGTTGTCTTGACCAGGAATGTCAGTAATGTATGACAGACTTGTGTTTGTCTCTTTACTTTCTACCTCAATATTTTATTCTATTGTATTTTATTGTATTCAAATATACCAGCTGCTATGATGACTTAATTTCCCTTCGGGGATGAATAAAGTAATCTATCTACTGCAAACAGTGGCTACCAAGCACTGACATTATCCTTCCATGTGTGGTTTCTGCACAGCTGCCTTTATGCAGCTATATCCTGCATGCCAACGGTTCCACCTCAACATATTTCATGTGTGACATCTTTACTGCCAGGTTTCAAAATAAAGTTCAATGACTAGGCTTAGTGAAGGCTGGTGATTTTGAGCAAAAACTTGAGATCATTAAGCATAAACTCAAATGTATAGGGAGCAAAATCTAAATTTGTGAGCGCCCACCAAGCCCATATGAGTATACAGAAGTGGGCAATATAACATTTCTTCACACATGACAGACGTAAAACTCGTAGAATAGTAACTTCACTCTTGTTGATTTTGTGAGTGTGTCCAATTGCTTGTAGTTGTCATTTGTTGGCAATGGAAAAATTAAGTGTTTCACAGATTTCCTAAAACCACTCTACTCAGACACTGCCAAAGAATGTAAACTTACAGCGTGAATCTATAAGTCGAGCTTTACAATCATTATAATGATTATTTTTATACATTACGTATTTATGTCACCTCTGTAGTCAAGTGTTCCTGGTAGCAACTCTCTAACTTTCTCTCTGATAACGGACTCAGTTTAAAGTGCAAAGTTTTCCAACATATTTTTTGGTAGATTCACATTATGAAAAACAACCCCACAAAATTAACAGTTAACACACTTTGCTAGCTCATATTTCAACTTGCGCAATAACTTGCTCAAATAAGCAGCAGGCTTTGGGTGTATGTGTGTATATGCCATGTTTGGTCTTGGGTTAGCTGCTCAACCACACCTGACAACAAATGACTTCAAGGTTTTCCCTTTAATTATAAGGCTTTATAAGACTGGGCATTTTTGTGCACCGCCTTAACTGAACGAAGGGGGGAGGAACTACACAGAGAGATCTAAGCCTCTCTGGAGGGAGAGCAAGTATACTTCCAATTATAGGACAGTATTGTTTCCTGAAACTTGAGTTTAAAAATGAGGATCACCTTATATTTCACTGTAGTCTTTTACAGAGTGTTGCATTATGGGTCACTTGTAGCAATTAAGTTGCTGGGCCACTGAGTTTGTCTATAGTGAATCAAACAGCCTGTTTTTAGAAACTTGTTTGTCTGATTTAACCTGAAAACTGCAGGAAAATGTTCTACTGCTCATAAGGAGATAAAAGTCCTTCTTAGCATCTCCCTTTATCTCAACTGCAGAAAATTAACTGGCAAAACAAAAACTGCCAAGAATTACATCTGTCACAGATGCTGAGCTTAGAAAAATGTAAGCCCTCCGAGAAAATGATAATGCAAAGGAATCAACTCGCTACAGTTGCTCAGTCAGCTGACTAGATGGAGGCCCAGTGTTGGGAAAGTAAGCAGACTACAGATGTCCAACCAAACATGTTTTCTTTGCGGCAAACACTATTATATCATAGGATGGTTATGGGGAGGTTTAAATCAGTCAGTCACTTTTATTTTGAATATTGTAACAATGGTCAAAAATTGAGTGTAAATAAATGCACTAGGATTGGGCTGGAAGGTATAAAGAGAATTTATATCAAGTTTAGCTGTTACGTCAACTATAGTTGTCCTGAAACAGGTCACACACCTTATTTGTTTCAGTGAAAAGGCTGATCTTTGCTCCTGTGACACCAACTGTGAGTAAAGTTTTTGATTTAAACTCTTTTTTATGAGAGAATGACAAACACTTGATAAAAAGCAAAACATTTCACAAGTCAGTGGTGACTCAAATTATATGGAATACCTCCTAACTTTGCTTACACAATGCATGAGAATTGCATCAATTTAAATCAAACCTTTGCAACATTAATATTATTCTTATTTTTTATTAATGTTGATATTGCGCAGTCCTAGCACATGCAAGTTCTGTCAGATGGTCAGTTGATGACAGCTCAAACAGAAAGATTGCTGGATTTTAACTAAAAAGGATACAACCTATCAAATTTGGCAGTTTCATACAAAACAGGCATCTTTTCTTTGCTAGGTGGATTCTTGATTATAGTGTACGGGCAGATTTTTTTCTCGTATGGATCCCTAAAGTTTGGCTATTAAAAAAAACACAATCTCTCAAATATATATATATATATATATATATATATTAAATAAGGTTTTTTTTACTTTCTTGTAACACAAAGGTCTGCATATACAACAATACTGCTATAGCTACAATTAACTCTTATTGGTCTGATCAGTTTAACGTAATTCTGAAGACATTATTTAATGTTAACATCTTGAGACTTGTGGATTACCACATAAATTAGTGAGTGACAGATATTGATGGATTTCACAACAAACAAACCAGTTAATTAATCACTCTCACTTGTATCTCTCTGGTAAGACACAACTTTCCACCCTGAAGAAATGACTGGGCCTTTTCGCCTCCTATCTATCTACTCAGACACTCCCTGTCAATCGAGCCCTGCAGAACAGAGAGGCTTTTGTGGCCCTCTCACATCTGGGAGGTTATCCCTCATATATCCCACAACCCCTCAGGGCTGAGAGGCCCCAATGTGCCTGAGGGAGAAGCCAAATAAAAACCAGCATGAGCAAAAATCTGAGGAGTGAGCTCCATTGAATAGAAATGGTGACGCTGGGGGGAAATAAAATTCATCCGGCCCTCACATCCATCAATACAATCAAAACTGAATGCACATGTGGCTTTGTCCACTTCTGGAGCAGAAACTAAACATGCACACAAAACATCAGTGATGCTAAAAAAAACATATATGCTATGATATGATATAAAATTTTAATATTTAACGTGGAAGCTGAATAAAAACAGTGAGACAGCCTCCTCGTGGCTGAGGGGTCGACGTCACCACGGTGCTGCACATGCTGCCGCCAACATAGCGTGGAGGTGCAGCTCATGTCAGCACAGGTGGACACTGAGCCGTTCGGCGGTTCAGTCGCGAGATGGAAGTTAAACTCGTAGAGATACTCACGGTGTGGAGGTTTAACAGGCGGGTGAGGGAACTTTCAGAAGAAGAGAAAACAACAGCCCTGTACGATCCTCCATCACCGCAGTCAAGAGTCACGCAAACATTTGAACTACAACCCTTCACACACCTGCGCGTTTAAATTGCGCTAATGACGACACAACGTGCGCCGGTGTGAACGGGACCACGCAACGCGACCGATTTGCGTGCTTTAACGAGCGCCCCCTCCCGGCAGTCTGTGAACGCAGACCCCCGCTGCATGTTGACTGAACATTTTCTGACGCAGCATGTTGTCAGAAATTTGATTTACGGGTTAAAAACAACAAATACTGCGGTACTAAAAAAAAAACCCCTCAAAGTTAAACACGCAAGTTTAGCAGCAATGTTAGCAGAGGCTACGAGATGCTGCCGCCACGCTCCGTCACTGTGTTGTTTTTTTTACCTTCAGTCGCGATGCTCGTCTCCTCTCTGCTGGAACTTGTTCTCTTATTTCAGGACTCCCCCTCTTCTTCTTCTTCTTCTCCTTCGTTTCCTCTTGATTAAAAGAAAGCCCTCCCGCTCTGATATCAAGCCATCCAGGGTCTGGGTCTGTCTCCCGGGCGAGGAGCTCCGTGTCCGGCTCCAGTTGCGTGGTGTACTGCGGGGTGAGGACAAAGACTGTTCCCAAATCCCCCCCTTTTTCCTTTCTCCTCCCAGTTTACAGGCTCCCCCCCTCCCGTGTCTTCACTGGAGGGAAGCGATCCTCCGCCAGCATTCCTGACGCAATCCCCGCTTCACCCTCTTCTCTGTTAACTTTGCTCTGGACCCGCAGACAATAACTCACGAATACTCACACAGTAAATAAAACTGTGTCTGTGCTGGAGAAGAGATGGAGGCCTGTGGATTTATATGTTACATGTTTTTATAAGGAAAACACTTCCAGGCAAAGAAAGAATCACTGGCTTTATGCTTGAAGGAGGATCACGCTGCAGTCAGTGCCACGGTGTCATTTCCAAGATAGGCATCAGATGTGCCACATTTCAAACTGGAGTGAATACATGTTAAGGGGATAGTTCACCCCAAAATGTACATTCCCTCAGAATTCACTCACTGCTAAGCTGATGGAGGGGTGGGTGAAGTGTTGGAGTCCATAAAACACCTTTGGAGTTTCAGGGGTACACAGCGTTGCAGTCAAATCCAACACAATTAAAGTAACTGATGACCACTTCTTCAACCGTAAAAAAATACATTAAATGCCTCCATACTGGTCCTCAATGTCCTCGGATATTCTCCTCTGGAACCGCGTTTATGTTCGCACACACACACACAAACTCTCACCCAAGCGTGCACACCAACATCACTAGTTGCAGTAAGGAGCATTTTAGCTTAAAACTTGGCATAAATGACACTGTTTTGAGTTGAATTTGAGCGTCGAGGCTTACAAACACTTGGATGATGCCACAGGAGCAGTATGGAGGCAATTTATGTTTTTTTCTATTTTTTTTTTACGTTAGAAGGAGTCCCCAGTTACTTCAATTGTATTAGATTTGGCTGCAACACTGTTTACCCCTAAAACTCTATAAGTGTGGACTTAAACACCCACCCCTCCATCAGCATAGTGGTGAGTAGATAATAAGTGAATTTTCATTTTCCGGTGAACAGTTGGTTGGGATAAGATGAATGTAATGGCACTCAGTACAGCTCCTACCTCTGCCAATGCCCGGCAGTCACCCTAAGAAACCTCATTTAAATCCACTAGACCTGGTTTTTCATTTGGATCTGCACCAAATTGCACACACTTAGAAATATCAGGCCTCTACAAATGCCAGATTTTTTCCCTTAAGATCCATAAATTATTCCCAGAGGAATTAGTGAATATCTAAGCAAACCCAACCCTATCCCAAAGCTAAAGAAATAAAAAAAAGAGTTTACAGATCCACCCATTAATCCAGATTCACACCAAAATGTATGTCTTCACTGCACTGTCTTGTTATTTGTAGGCCTGCATGAGAAGAAGAAGTAGAGATACTTTATTATATAAACCAATACTGCCATAGCTACAATAAGCTGATATTGGCCTGGTCAGTCTACCAGATGTCCAAACAAAATATTTCAAACTTATTCAATGATAACATCTTGATGCTTGTGCATTGTCAACTTAGATTTTAGTTTGTTTAATATTTATGAATTGCACAAAAAAAGAAACATGTCAGATTTTTCTCCATCGAGATCCATGAATGATTCCCTGAAAAAATGGTGAATATGCAAAATACACCCTATCTCACAATGTTTTATGAATTATTTGTTGACACATGTCCCACCCTTCCACAACTTTCATGAAAATCTGTTCCGCAGTTTTTGGATTATTCAGCTAACAAACCAAACTAACCTACAAATAAACCCTTGTTTTCTATAAGTAGGCAAGCAAGGTTTATTTAATATACCACCTTTCACAGAGTGCTTCACAATAAAACTTCAATAGTATTTGCACGCATAAGGAATGCCATTTTGAATAAATTACTTTTTTAGTTTCTTCTTAAGGCGCTCATAGGAGGCATTTCATAATGTCTGAGCCATGAAATGCTCTATATGTTACAGTGAGAAGCTTGAATGAATTCTGAATTTAATGGGAAGCCAATGTAAAGAATGTAGAATGAGTGTGATGTGGGTCACATGCTGGAACCAGCCAATAGCCTTTCAGCAGGACCATTTGTATAGGCTGCCCAGAGGTGTTTTGCTGGGGCAGGTCAAAAGGGAATTACAGTAATCGAGTTTGGACATGTGAATTGTTATCTCCAATAGGCTTCAGTTTTGTGATGTTTCTTAAATGGAATGTAACAAGATGTTCGATGTATTACTCCAAATGCATAGTCAGATCAAAACTGTTGGGGATGTGTGGAACAGCACAAACCCCCGCTGATAGTGGCACGTTCCTTCTTCCTGCTCATGCAGATGTTCGGAAGTTGTAGGCATTGTGAGGCCCCTTCCTCCGTGTCACACTTTCTTTGCCAAAGCCGCACGTGCATTTCCTCCGCCCCCGCCACCCCCATTTAGCATTTCTTTGAAGCTCTATCCTACACTTCATATTGTTCATTATAGAAAACAAAAGGGGAGTGTGCACTATTTATGTCCCACATTAGTGCTAAAAGGGGTCTGGAGCAGCTACGGCCATGAATCACAGAGTGAGGGGTCTAAACTCAGCACAATGTCGATTCATTACTCTGAGGAAATAAAGTGGTATTATTATCTGTGGTATTAACCTCACACTCAGTCAAAGGTGACACAAAGCACTTGTATTTTCAACAGCCTTGCGCTGCACTTTCCCCAGAAGTGACTGAAATGAGATGTGTGCGGTTACCCAGATTAAATATGGCAGACGTCCAGTCAGAATTAGTCTCCTGAGGTATCCACTCAGATTGAATGATCACATTGTTATCACCAGATCTCTAGAAGTCGCAGTCTCCACGTCTTTTCTCTGCAAACGAAAACAGACTGACCAACAAGATCACCTTCACTACCACTCGTTGAGAACGAAGTGCCAAGATCAGGGGACTGCCATGCTTTGTCCCCTGAACTTTTTTCAGTGGTTGGCAAAAGAGCATTCAAAGCAGCGGTTATTGCTTAATATCTGCCACAAACAGCAGGTCAGTGAAGGAATGCAATGCCCTTCCCCCTTCTCAGGGAGCAGTGGAGCTCTATTGTGAACCACAAGCATGCTTGTATTCATTGGGGGCAAAGCGGGGAGCCCTGGTAAACCAGAGCCCAAATGACTGAGCAAAATAATCTGGAGACTGAGCAGCCCCAGCCTCGTGGCTCCTTCAGAGTAAAGTCAGTTCTCTAGATGCTAACACAGAATAAGTCTGTGTGTTTGCATGTGGACTCACTCCACAGGCATTCTTGACTTTTGGTCTGGATTGTGAGAGTGCATTTCTTCAGTATGTGTTTATTCTGAATACACTCACTTATGAATAAGCACTGGGATAAACATCACAAGGTATCTTGTCTAGTTTGCAAAAGACTCCAATATTCTAACTGTGAACGTACTGTAACAGCCTCTTTAACCACGGCTGTTCTTCCTTGCCTTAATATTGAAGGAGGATCACAGTGCAGACAATGCTATGGGGTTGTTTCCAGGATATTCTGAGGTGCCACATTTCAAACTGGAGAGTTACTGGATCTCTTGACAGATATACAATATATTGACACTGTACCCAGATGCTTGGATGGGTTGAGATGAACAGTGCCTATCTCTGCCAACACCCAGCAGTCTCCTTTAGTAACCTCATATAAATCCACTAGACCGGGACTTCTATTTGGATCTGCACTAAATTGCACACAGTCATAGATAACAGTCCTTTAAACAGTCTGATGTTTCATCAAGATTCATAAATTATCCCTGGGTAATTGGTGAATATGTAAAAAAGAAGAAGTTAAAGAAAATTATAAAATAAAATCAGGGTTTGCTCATTTGTCTGAATCCATACCAATATTTAAAGGGTTCTTTCTTGGTCCATGGTAAAATAGTTTAGCGTAATCCTGCTGACAGGCAAACAAGCCAACGGACAGATGAGCAACAAAACATCCTTGGATCATTTGTTTGTCTTTTTTGACCCAAACTATACCATTCCAAACTAAAATAGCAATAGTAGAGCATGTACACATTTACTGATACAGATCAGATACATCTTACTCTGTTGAGTTATCTTGTTTATTTGGTGTTATAGTGTTGAAGACAGAACTGGTCTTTGTGTAAATGCTGACGCATGACACACAATCTGGCTCAAAGCTGCTTTCTCAAGTTGTCTCTGATTGCCCAACGGAGGAGATTTAAACCGTTTTTCTGTTGTAATTTTGTTAATCTGTGCGTCAAAGTGTATAAAAACGTATAAACAGCACTTTGTGATTCATCCACATGAGTGTGGACATGGAAACTGTCTGTTACTGTTTTGATGATCCCCGTCTCTATAGAGCTGTGGCCTTTAATACTCCCTTCTAACTGACTAACAGTTACATTTTCCCTGAAGCTCAGAAATGACATTGCAACATTTCCAAGGAGGTGAAAGGGCTTTGCTCGAGAGTTGCCCTCCTGTCTGCTTCCTGAACCTGTCCCATTGTGAATCATCCCCTTGTGATGTTTGCTTTCCTGCCACAGATACACAGGTACACACACACACACATGTACAGACACACACACTCATACACTTTTGTCTAAAGAGTCTGCCTGCAACTGGTTTTGTGCCTGAATGCAACTGCAAGTTCTACAGGGAGAGCCTTAATGTTCCCCTTCTGGCAGTTGTGGCAGTTCCTTTGTCAGCAGAAGGAGCTGAAATGCTTGAGAGGGTTATGAAGATGGAAAAAATATGGCTCCGGCTCCAGAACTCTTTCTCTGACAGGGACTGTTTCCTAAACTGGGACATGATGAGTTTATTCATCACCACTTTTCTCTCTGTATTAATATGAGAATGTATGAACCACACAGGCACATGAACGAAAAGCTACAATCACATTAGGGTGTTTGAGTTGGCAGAAATTTTTGCTGTACGTTGTTGCTGGTTTTAATCTTTTAACTTGCATTCTTTAGGCCGTCTCCCTGCCAACACACCCATGAAAAAGCACGAGGGTCCAAGGCATCTTATTAAATGGCATTAGCACAAGGTTGACCTGGCAACTGTCCAACATGACTTTAATAAAATGACCAGCCCTGTTTTCACTATGGGACAAAGAAGGAATTTGTTTCTCTTGCAGTCTGGTTTGTCAGTTGTGTCATTATGTGCACTCATCGTGCCTGTTTTCTATCCTTTACTCTTCCTTTCTACAGCCATCAACACCCATGTGAATGTGAACCTTAATTATTAAAAGACGACAGAATTAATGTCAAGGTAGCACATCGACCTCCACCTGTATGTTTTTGGCAGATATTTACAGGACAGAGAGCGATGAAGTTCAGCAGTAAACCTAGACCGCACTGTTAGATTTTTATGCACAGTACAGCTGAAAAGTAGAGTTTTCTCGCCAGCACGACTAATGCTTTCCATGTGTGTGTTGTTTAGGAGTCTGTGAATCCCAAATAGAGCCTAATAAGGTTCTGCCTCACATCAGGGTTACTCACTTCAACTTAACCCGAAAATACAATTGATACAGAAGGGCTTCCGATGCCAGAGATGAATTTTGGACTGCAGGATCTCGGGAGGGCCTATATCACAGCAGAGTAAAATAGTTCCGAAAATAAACATATAGTCTCATACATAGCAAAGCCACATATCTAGTTATATGAGCAAAACTCATATATGCCAGAGTTTGGAGTATATGAGCAAAACTCATATATAACACCACCAAAAGAGGTGGCATTACCCAAGAAACTCTGTAATTACAGTACTGTGGCCACAAATTGCTTTTTGGAATGATAAAAAAGTTTTGATCTCGAAGTGTTTCCCAGATGCAATCAGTCCTCAGTGTATATTTATAATGAGTCATGGCTCATAAAGAAGGCCTGATATGATATTTTTAATGCAACTTTGCAGACTCTGAATAGTTGGCTTCTAGTTTACTACCACTTCCTTCACTTCCTTACCAGTTAACAGCTTTTCCCTCCTTTTTTTTGGGGGGGGGGGTCTAACGCTGACAAGGCACCGGGTAAAAGGGGGTGGGCAGGCCTAATTTGCAAGGTCACCTTGTTTTTTGTGGGGGAGGGGGGGTGCTCTCAACAGTGAGGCTTCTTGAGTTTTTTATGTGTATAATAAATAAAATATATATAATAAAACAAAGAGAGCCTGTCTGTAGCACCATCCTTGATTCATATGATAGTGGACTAACAGCTACTTTTCTTGTTTATGGGTGCAGATCTTTTTACTGCTCTCGGTCATACAGTTAACACTAGCACCCCTCGGGTAGCATGGTCGAGTTACAGATGGAACAGCCTGCACGTGGGACACACAAAAGAAGCCTGCTTATAGAGAGGAGGGGTACAGGGTTACCATGGAAACAGACAGCCCTACCCCCGTAGCAGATGGTGGTGGTGGTGGTGAGGGTATCGGGGGCTGGGTGTAGCAGTGGCGGGACGCAGAGATGATTATCTGTCCCAGGTTTATGTCCTGAAACAGCTTCTGTGTGTCTTCTTGACAAAACAGGTGGCTTCAGTCAGTGTTTAACTGCATGTTAACGCAGGAGGCAAGCTTTGACTGGAAGGGTGGGTTACAGAAAGAGATATAAATAAATATGAACACATTAAATGATTACTACTGCGAATTGCAGTCATTCATTTTGTTTCATTTAGTTAGAAATTGTTAGCTCTGAAATTGTAACAAAATGGTCTATATTTAAAAAAAAAAAATCACAATAGTTGCTGCAATCATTCCTCCTACCCTTTCTAGTCCTGGTGTTTTGTGATGTCATCGCAGAGCAATCAGAACTGGATTAATTGAACCTCAAAGGGATGTGACGTGATGGATGGATGACGTGTCTCAGCCCACCATCCAGAAATAAAGCCAAAATATTCCAGATATGAACGCTGCCATAATGTGCTGAGGACGTCATATGGAGCCTGAATCAGCACTGTGGAGATTGAGAAATTGAGCTGTGGTATCAAGGTCATGCTGATATCAAATACATATTTAAAATCAAACTTATTGGAGAACATAAGCACTTAAATCAGTGTGATGAGAACAACAACAAAAAACTTTTTCAAAAGATATATATGACACATACATTGACTTTTTAGTCTGCCCCATGTCCCATCCACTAACATGGATGAGGCAGGTTTTATGACCTACCACCAGATGGCTAATGAGACATTGTGACTTACCTTTTGGGGAGCAGTTATTTCATCCATCATCCAACAGTTGGTTTTCCATGTTTTTTTTCTCCATTTTTTCCCCGACTTTCCTTTTGCACGCTATCAAACCAGACATGACTCATTACTTCATACTTTGAATGTGGTAGACAAGGGGCCACTCTCTTCATCTGAGCCCAGCACAATACTCCAGCACATATAGTCCAAAATCTCTTTCAGCGAGTGGGTAGGAACTGTGTAAACATGGTATTGAATTGAAAAAACCCAATCCTATCCTCCTGTGTGTGCAAATTTTTAGGGAGCGACTAAATGAGTCTTCAGCTCTGTGTAGTCTACACACTTAGATTGTTGCAGTTTTACGTCAATTCACATTACAACAGAGTTTAGCACCAGCAAAAGAGCAGCAGTCCTTGATACCCAGGAGCAAACATACTTGAGACAGAAGAGCAAAGGGGCCCTTTGAAAAGACACACTTCAAGGCACAGGAAGTGTGGATATATAGGATGGGCTCTGTGCTCTGCTGCCGCCCTGTCTCTGCTGCCTACAACTCATCTCTGAGCAGCACATTCTTCCTTATACTTGCAGAGTAAGTACACATAAAACTTCTTTAATATGACATGTTTTTCACTCGAATTTTGGTGCATGGAAAACTACGTTGCACTAAATCTCAACACTTTTAAAGTGAACGTTTTCAGCTTCATGTTGGAACCTCCAAAAGCAGCAGTGACGTGCAATTGAGAGATGTAATTGTGACGTGTAATTGAGAGATAAATGTTATTTTTCTTAACATCAGTGATAACTGAGTGTGTGGAAGTATCAACTCCCACACACTTATCTCTGTGTTCATGTGGACGCGCTCGCTTTCGAGGATCCTTGTGTAACACAACTCTCCAGCTGCCCACATCTGGTCTGGAGGTTTTGTAACTCCCTGCTCGCTCAAGCTCGCTTCCCTTTCGCAGTCACTGTCCAAATCTAGTGAGACCCTATCTTATGTCTGTTGTATCTCTATACAGAACGCCAACTTATTAGCATTCATTGAAGTTATAACAATCACACATAAGCTGTGGTATAAAAGTAATTTCCCCTAATTCAGTTAAACCTCTGTCTCTTTGTCATAAACACACTGCTCTGGTGATGTCAGCATGACTGCTCCAAAGACTCATAAATGCGTAAAAGACTTGGCAGCCATACTGGCAAGAGTGAAGCTGGACAGCCAGGAATTATGGGGTGAGCAAAAGTGCTAAGATCACCATTGATTCAGCATGTACAGCACCTCTCCTCTGGATGATGGGAAAATTAGATAATCCATCAAAGTGGCGGCGAGAGACCGCAGTGGAAAAGATGATTTGTGTGCCGGGGAGTCCTGAGAATACAAAGTAAAAGCCAAACTTCAGTATCAACTCTACAGTGGAATCATTTGAATTTAAAAACTTCAGTTCTGTTGTGAATCTTTTCATCCATTCATCATCTTACACATTTGTCTCTATAAGCAATGAGAGACATGGTCGGGGAGCGGTAGGTCCTTACACTTGTGTGGGCAGTGTGGACATGGTTCTTGTCCTGCACATGTGTTTATTCCATCTGGCCCTGCCCTCTCATGTCTGAGTGGTGATGTCATGAAATGAGAGGGTTTCTTGGGTCTCGAGGCTTCTCTTTGCACCGCGGTTTATGCACGGGTGAAAGTTAGACTTTTGATATACTGGATGTTAATGTGTGGGCTGGACGGGACATATTACACACTGTCACCTCATGGACAAAATGATCATCCTGTCAGACGCCCATGACGACAATTATGAGACATGGATTTACAACATTTCAAAATAATGATGACTTATTTAAAATCAGTTGACCATAGGGAAATAGTTTGATCAACGGTCAGGGGATATGACTAGTGACTGACTCTACAACACATGTGCTCATTAGAATTCAAGGGCTGACCAGCTACTACAAACTAAACAAAGGAACACTAAATGGTCTGTTACTTCTCATAGTCATGTCTCACACTACTGGAAGGGGTAGCTCTTCATTATCCCCTCGCTGTAACTTTATACATGGAAAGAAAGAGAGCAGGGTGTAAAGAGGCAAACCTCATGAAATGCAAACGTCTCTCGTTCTCATTCACATGTGAATCCAGACTTAACACCACCCCCATTCAAAATGCAAACTGAAACATATAACTTCTTTATTAAAGATGGTGATAGTAGACATTGTTGATAGTAATTATTAAAATAACTTTCATTAATGTGGCACCTTTGAAAACAGCCAATGAGGATAAACCAAACTTTAAAGGGAATCGCATGTAGACTCAAAGGCAGCAAATTATATGACACAAAATCTAAAATTGAGGACAGCAAATAAAATAATATTATAGTATCAATAAAAGTAATGGCAAAAGAAAAGGATATAATGAGACATAAGTAATAGCTCAAAACAATCAAGTAAAAGCCATTTTGTAAAAGTAAGTTTCTAATGAGTCTGTGCTGGCAAGCAGATGTTGAGCTGAGATTATTTGTCACAATAAGAGTTATAAGAGTTGGCAGGTGAGGGTTAAATACTGCTAATACTCATCGTCTACTGGCTGTAGGGGAGCGAGCAATAAACATCATCATTTAAAATTTAGGACCATACCAGCAAGGACATCGGGACTTTAACTTCAGATCAGGACAGGAAGCATTTGTAGCTTTCTTTACAGCTTTTTTATCCTGTATATCCATTGTGTAGCAAAGTCAGACATCCTGAAAGGAAGGTCTGACTTTGCTCTTTAAAACTTGACACAGACATTTTATGCTTTAACTGGAGGAAACTGCCCATAAACTGTCAGAAAGTGTTAAAGGGGTGACAGGCTCAGCAGCATTTTGTGACTCAACAAAGTCTCTCCTTTTTCTTATTAGATGAAAAGTTTGTGAACTTGTTTCCCTTTAGTTGTTCCAAGTGCATCCTGTCCACCGGTGTTCTGAACTTCCGGACATCCCATGGGCACAGGGCAGTGAAGATAGCATGTTACCATGGCCTTTCTTTTGCATTTTGACCTCTGCTTTAGAGCATTAACTGACCTATACTTGCTCCTTTGTCACCAGAGTCACATAACGAACCATAACAACAAACAAGTTGACCTGACAGAAAACTGTACAAATTAGTCTTTCTTGTTTTAACAGTAACAGGTGTGTTTGCAATGTGTGTTCTCTGGAACATTCCACACAGTGAAAAAAAAGGGGGGGGGGAATTTGGGTGTCCACCAGGGTGTCGTGTTTGGGCTTTATGGACGTGTGATGGGCCAGTGGGTTTAAGTTCCGACCAGCCACCAAAAGAAAGAGGAGAGAAGCTTGCACCACAACACGCACTGAGGGAGTGTGACTTGATTCTCTGCCATTAGGAAGCCATTACGCCACATCCATCCTACGTGATCTGATGCAAGTAGACAGCACTAAATATAAGTGTGAACACACCCAAGACGCACTGTCGCAACTGAGATGTGATCAGAAGTAGTCAAAGGCCCCCGTACACACGTCATATTAACATGTGGTTTTTTAAAATGTGTCCACATTTATTTATCCGATAGTGACCTCAGACTTGGTCAAAATAAAATAATTTAGTCTTAACCAAAACAAGTCAAATACATGTTAATTTGCATGTAGAGCGGGGAAGTGGCCAAGTGATCGCAGGGGACATATTCAGGACCCATTTTAATATAAAGTGTGTATTTCAGTTTTTAGAGCTGTCCACTTGTGAGTGACTCTCTCAGGATGGATATTACCAGGTCTGAACAGGGGCCTGCATCTTTAAATAGGAAATAGTTGTTGGCTGCTGTATTCATGTTCAAATATTGTATATAAGACCTGTTAAATGAACTTGAGACAGGATCTTTAAACAAAGCAAAGTTTCATTATCATGTTGAGATAGCAAAAAAATGTATCAGCCATTGCTTCAACAAGTGGGCCTACATACTTAACATAGTGCACAAAGTGAGTCAGGTACAGATTTAAATCTTTTTAAATAATCTTTGAACTTTGAACGTGAAGAATCATGGGTCATTTTAATAACCAGTAGATTGTTATTAGAGAAATTGAACCAATAAACACTAACTTAAATGTCCAGTGTGTAAGATTGAGGTAAAAGGGATCTATTGGCAGAAATTCAATGTAGAATAATCCTCATGATGTTTTCACTAGTTCATTTCATCTAAATTTTATGAATTGTAGTTTTCTTTACCCCAGAAAAGGCCCTTCATATTTAAATACTTAAATACTACTAAACACCTTTTGAGTTTTTATGACAGCTGAAGGCTACCACAGGTTCTTTTTCATATTTGGAAGGGGAGGGTGAGGTGAGGGGTGTTCAGCTGCAACATGCAACTTCAACACTAGATATCACAAAATTCTACACACTGTACCTTTAACTTTACTATACTCGTCTCTTGTTTTTATTCAATTATTATGGTTTGTGGACTGTAACCTGAACATGCAGGTGAACATGCCAAACACAAACTAACCTGGGATCGTACGTGTTTGCTAGTTGCAAATTAAGGTGATATCATGGTTTAAACAAACAATGAGCACACACTGAATATAAAAAAGAATCTTTTGATTCCTAATAGCAAAATAACACTTCAACTACATATATTTTTTCTTGCTTGATTGAAAAGGTATTTAAAAAAGAATTATTTACAACAAGAAGAATGTCTTACTTCCTTGACTTCTGACTCTGTAAAATGATCTTGTGAATCCTTACCGGTTGGGAAACTGTTGTATGTACTGTTGTGGTGTGATGGTGTTCTTGCAGGAATATGACATTGGATTTCTGTTTGTGATTCACAATGCCTTATGAAAAGACAGATGTTCAGACAATGACAACGACGAATGGAATCCCTGCGGTGGAAAGGAGTGTACGAGTTGACAAGCTGTTATCTGTATCTGATGAATGTGACATTTCTCTCTGATATGTAACAGTGGAGCTTTATGACTTGATATGTTCTCTTTTTTCTTGAGCATCACTTCAGGCAGCTCTGGTGGTTTGGCACAAGGACCAAAACATGAAAGACGAGCCTCCCGCCGCTGAGCCAGTTCCATGGGAGTTCACACAGTCAGAGCATCAAACCTCCTCCCACCAGCTGAGTAAGTGGTTCTTAACAAGTCATCCTTCCATTTAGCCACGAGGAGATTTTTAACTTGTGCTGTATAAAAAAGCCGGAATGGTTGTTTATAGATTTATTGTAACAGCTGTGTCTTTTCCATTAGAATTTAAGCACTTGATTTTTACCAGAGAGGAAACAAAACAGGGGTAGGGTTTAAGATGGTGGGACTTTTTGTCCAATCAGCCATGAAAGAATCCACAATGACTTTCAACTGTGTGAAAAATGGTCTCCTCACCAGCCTTTGTGTCTTCAACCATTAGTTAAGAGCACAAAAATAGTTAAACACATTTAATCATTTTGTCAGTCTACACATCCGAGTGCAGGTGCAGAATGTGTCACGATCAGACCTGGTTTTTAAAATCCTTCCAAAAAGAACAAAATCTCAAGTTCCCATCAGTTGTTAAAAAGCATCCTGAATGTGAATGTGTCTCCTGCTATATATGCAAACATATATGTGTATTCATTAAGACCAAATTTTTTTTTTTACCCAGCCTGTGTCCAATGACAGTGTGAGTATACAGGGACTGAATGAATGAACGTGCAGGGCTAAGCTCTACCATTAACTATTATATATATATATATATATAATTATTATTATATTATAGAATCTATGAAAATGATCAATTATTACATGGTGTGTCACATCAACTCAGCACACGCACGCACAAAATTGCAGTCTCACCGCAAGCTGGCAAAACCTCTCTACCCCTCTTCACTACTAACTGGAAGGTGAGCTAAACAGAAAGACAAATAGAAATCACACTCAAGACAAGAACAAGTTTGGACTCTGGGTTACTGCTGACCTCACAATTCAACCTATCTGCACAAATACAGGAGATATATGCAATAGGTTGACTAAAATGTAATTCCATGCAGCACACTTCACCCATTCTCTGTCACCTTGAGTGTGCCCAGCCCCTCCTCTCTCTGAGCCCTGATCATACACACCTTTTATCACTCTCTCTGAACGACCTGCTGATCTGAGCCCACATACCTGCAAAGCAACCTAACAACCAAACAGAGTAACATCCCAAACATAACAGAATAAACTTTTAACACAAACTTGCTGGAAAACAATACAACACACAACCCAAAAAAGATTATCTACATTATCTAATTGATAATCAAAATCCAAATATTAATCAACTGATCAAATGTTACTGTAGGGAGACAGAGCAGAGTGAAAAAGGGGGGAGAAAGCATCATTTTCACAGTGGCCAAGGACTGATTTGCATTCATACAAAAAAGAATGTGGCCAAATGCGTCCCAGACCACCTACAAATGTGGTCTGAAAGACCGAATTACACCTGAACATCGAGCTGGCCACTTGGGATCAGATTTCTCAGGACAGATGCTAATACCAGGTCTGAACAGAATCTTTAACTGTTTTCAGACATGACCTTCAGAGGATGTCTGAAGAATTGGATCCAGACTTTCTGCAGAGGTTGCCTCTCACACATGCACAACGCAGCTGGAGAATCTCCACATTCACAACAACAAAGAAGTCTCCAGAGCGGAGACAGGATGTAATGTATTCATTCTTATGTGGAGATCATGTTTTTATTTACAGCACATCAACGTCTTCATCTGACCTTATCACCAAAAGGTCCGTGTGTTCTTTACACAGGCTCCTTCGGGCTTTCTGCAGACTTTTTACTGGGGGACTTGCTGGAAAAACTGTCTGCAGTAAATCAGAAGGCTCTCACTCAGACATTTGCGTTCACACATACAGCTCCCTCCAGGAGAATGTCCAGATGTGTTTTAGAGTTTAGAGCATGTTTCTTCAGTGAAATAACTTGTATTTGTGAATGCATGTGTCTCTAGAATGTCTTTGCGCATGACTCTGTGCCGGTGGGATTTGCTGTCTCGAGTAAAACTAATGCAGAGTGTGAATGAACAATGAAGAGGTGACAATAAACTGAAGTCACATGTGAAATCAAAAGCCTCCTGTCAACAGGTATAGTCTGTGCACACTCACTTGCACATTGTGTGCAATGGCTGTTGTTGAGTCATGAACTGCTGATGTAGAGGCCAGGACATGTATTCACTGCATGCATTCACCCAGTGCTCACAGTAACTGAATTGTGATTCGATGTGTTGAAACTCCTGTCTGTTATGACACTTTCCCTGTACATGCAGGCACTGTGTAAGTAGTCACTGTAACTCCAGCTCTTTTATAATGCCCGGTGCACAGCGTTGTGCACATTCTTGTTTGGTTTTATGAAATAGGGTGGGGCTGAACCGGTTCCACTGGGGACAGAAACTGAAGTTTCCAGGTCAATGAATGAATCTTGGTGTTTGTTGATCTTTGATAGGCCTTGTCATTGTCCTTGGCCTCTGGCGCATTGGACTGTTGCCTTATGGGATTTACCCAAGTCTATTATGTGAATGAATTATTCTCCTGAAGATGAAAAGAGCCAGTCCCTTAGGTGACTTTGGTATTCTGTCAATAACACAATCACTGTTCATCATAATGCACTTGACCACAGGCATACAGAACATACTCAGCTCATTGAGAATACAAGCATTTCTGGTGACCTGTTAGGCTGATGTGGTTTGTGCACTTAGTTCACTCACGTCCATACAAAGCCTCAACTAGCACCAGCATCCTATGCTGTGAATGCCCAGATTGTAATCCTTAGGCTGAATTATACATTTTCAAACTCAACCTTCTCATCCTGAGTAGCTCACTGGCTAAAACCTTTTCAAACACTGCCACTCCTTTTGAGTAGCTTGGCTCGAGGCATGTGTGAGGTACAGGGGATTTTCAGACACACTTCAGGTGTACCTCATAGACAACTGCCGCAGTCAGGAGGACACCCATTTTACCCTGTACCTAGTGGAATACAAGGGAAGCAGTGATTTAAAATAAATATGTTTTACACATTTGTGAAATTAGAAGGAGCACTTACCTCCGCCAAGGCCCAAATGTACCATATTTCAGATATCAATTCCCTACACGCGTCTCATTTCTGTCATCAAAATACATGAGAAAACCTGTAAAAATGTTGAAGAGTACTTTCTTGAGATTAAAAAATTATTCCTGGATCCACCCCTAATGCGGCTCTTCACCAAAATTTTAAAAGTTCTTTTTTGACTTGTACTGCATCCTTCCACCAAGTTTTGCCAGAAAGTGATGTAGTTTTTCTGTTATTATGCTAACAATAAAAAGAGATAAACAGAAAGGTGTGAAAACATAACCTCCTCGGTGGAGGACAGTGTGATTGCTCAAGATTCATTCTTATCACTTATCACACTTGGCTCAAAACATTTGTGACTCATTTTAACGTGCCAGTGTCTTGATATCTTCAAATCTGTTGTCTCTTTATTTATCTCCTCTCCGTGTTTTACCATCTGACCACTTGTTAGGAAGGAAAGACCTTTAGCTTCTCATGTGAACTTCTCAACAACTTTATAAAGACAAAAAACGGTTGATGAACGTGGAACACTTTGTCCAGTCTTCATTTTCACCGTTGGATTTGGACTTGCATTCATCCCCAGCCCTGGCTCTGTGGGCACATTCAGTGTTCAGTCAAAACCTAAAGGTCTGAAGGGTCATTCTGTTAGAGAAACCCAGATACCTTGAGCCTTTCTCAGCCATTTGAACACACAGACTTCCTTCTGTTTCAGGCAAAAAACACACACCACCAGTGTGTGGGTTGGCAAAACATTTCCATGGCTCCTTTCTGCTCTGTGAGAGAACAGACATGCTATTTTAAACTTGACTCGGATGCTTGAAAATATCTTAAATGGCACAGTGGTGGACGCTGATTAAGGCTTGGTTTTGGAACATACATGCTGTGGTTCAGCTTTTTTGTGAGTAATTCCCAGTGTCATTTAAACCTTGACATACTACCCAGAGCCTCTGGCTCCTGATGTGAAGACCAGTAGACACGCCCTCCACTGAATGAAAGAGGTTTTTTCCATCTTATGTCACCTTTAATCAAAAAAACTGATTGCCAGTCCACACAATGTGTCCTTTTGTTCTGCCAACATACACACGAGGATAGAATAGATTACAGAGCCCACAGAGGAAGGAGTAAACAGATATGGCTGAAAAAACTTTATACAGCTTTCCAAGGTTATTGTAACTAACCTGCACATATAAGTTTCCCTCATTGTGAATATATTTAACCTCTGATGTATGTTGTCATTCAAATTGATTCTCATACTACAGTAATTATTACATACTGTATCAAAGATACAAGTATCAGTAAGACTAATGCATCTACCACAGCACAGATTTTTCAAGAAAAGTACAATTTGTCTTTTTTATAATATAACACATTTCAATAAAACTGAGAAAAAGCTGATAAATAAATAGAAAAATTACTGAAATAAATCAAAATGTCAGCAAAGGAGTTCAGGGCCACAGTAATATGAAGCCCCTATATTATGAATACAGGTCAGTAGTATATAAAAGGACTGTGAGAGGCTTCAAGGGCTTTTAATGTTGTACCATTTCAAACTATGTATTTCCATCTGATCATTTATCCCGGAAAAAAGATCAGATCTCATCGGCTGCTACAACTCCCAGCTGAGAGAACCATACATGTTCTGAAGGGAAATCACCAGACTATCTTAACAATAATCCTCCAAGCACACATCTATTCTTTTCAGAACTCTTTCTTCTTTAGAACTCAACTAACTTTCTTCATTTTATTTGAAGAAGTGCGTGCATTGTACCTCACTGTACAACAGACATCACTCTGTAAAGTTCCATGAAACCAGCTATGTAAACTGACCTATAAGAGGGGAGATTGTTATGGAGGCAAAAGTAAACATACAACAGCCAAATAAAATATTTGCACTGCAGTCTATAGGCCGGCCGGGCGTCACTGTTGCCCTTTCTCTCTGTTTCTTGTCCAGTAAAAAAAATGAGAGAAAGAGGGATGTGACATTAATGAAAGTGCTGAGTCAGAGTTTTTATCAGAACCCAGATATCATTTTGAGGACAAAAAGCACTTGTCCTTGTGCATGTCCTTAAATAGTCTAAGAAGAATGGTTTATGAACTATAAAAAGCACTTTGAAAGATGACTTTTTAGCTGCAGGGTCAGATGACAACACGTAAAGGAACCGAAAGTAACAGGCGTACATTTTGGAGGAAGTTAGTCACTGATTCATTGAATATTTCTTAACTATACGGCCGATGACCTGCGTCTCAACGGGCACACGGCAAAGGCTAAAGGGAGTCGCCACTGTCACAACAATAAAGATCTTCAGTGACAAGCACGGGTGCATTCAGGCTACTGTTTTCTCATCCAGCTTAACCCCCCAGTAAAATAGACAGGAGCTATCAGCACTGTGTCCACAACCTAATCTCCAGCCATCAAGCTCACAAAAACTAAAACAAACAGTGAACACCCGGTAGATTAAAGGGTTGTATGGGTGGTCCCATTTCAAACTGATGAGTTTGAGGGATAAAAAAGGCTTCTCTTTGAGTTGGATTCCTATTTGTAATTGTATTTTTGAATTGTTATGTGAGAAGGAGGAAGTGCCCAATTAGATCTTGTATGGAAGCCAGAAGAAAGAGTGTTTAGTTTGAAAAGTTTATTACAGGCTAAGACAGCACATTCTTTTTAAGCCTTTTTTTTCTCTTTCCTCTTTTGAAAAACTATAATTTGGTCACAACATGCTATTTTGAAATTGTAGCTTTTGAGCCGACGTAGGTCTGCTCCCAGTTTTGACTGATGATTCCAAATTATTCAGAAGCTGAAGTGGCTAAAATCTGTGCTCGCAGAAATGGCTCATCAGTGCATACCTCTTTTGAGTAGTGACAAAGCTTTATTAAAATTAATTTAATTAACATTGATGATATTGTAGAATACTAAAAAAATCTAACATTACATTGCTTTAACAGTACATCAGGCAATTCATTTCATTTGTCTGAACAGGGATGGTAAAGGATTGAAAAGAACATTTGTTATCAGTGTGCTTGACCTTTGCTTCACTCCTTTAAAATGACCAATGTTTGAATCAACACCAAAAAAGCAAGTTTCGTAGCTTTCCTGGTTATGGGAGGGATTGCACTGCTGTTTCAGGAAGGTGTGACGAATAAACTGATGACTGAATTTATTTTAAACTCACTTTACGGCTCTCTGTGTGTTGCAACTGTTTCTCAGAGATGTAGTTTTCTGTGTGGGAAGCTCCAGCATCTGGATATGTTCATCTTGTGATGTGGCTTGCAGACAGGTGAGGACATTACTTTGAGACTAACCCTCAGGAGAAATGTGTCTTGTAGAAATGGTGGTGGACAGCAGCACATCAGTTACATCCCACTGAAGGTCTTGACAGAACTATACATCCCTTATTGTATTTTATACTCATCTAGTGTTTTTTTATTGTTGGTCCCTTGGTATATTTGCACAGAGACAGAGGCCCCTTGTGCATTTGACAAATAATGTGAATCATCAATGTAATGTGTGGTCAGTTTGCTCTCAGCTGAATCCATCTATCTATCTATCTATCTATCTATCTATCTATCTATCTATAGCTCTCTCTCTCTCTCTCTCTCTCTCT